GCCTAAGAGCTCAGCTCAGTCTCCCCTCGGGCAGGTTCAAGCCATTCCCCTTGGCCTGGCCCTACATCCCTTGTCCCAAGCCCCTCTCCAGCTTTCCTGCAGCCCCTTCAGGCACTGGAGCTGCTCTGAGGTCTCCCCTTCAGGAGCCTTCTCTTCTCCAGGCTGCCCCAGCCCAGCTCTCTCAGCCTGGCTCCAGAGCAGAGCTGCTCCAGCCCTCACAGCAGCTCCGTGGCCTCCTCTGGACTCACTCCAACAGCTCCATGTCTTTCTTATGCTGAGGACAGCAGAACGCACGCAGTGCTCAAGGAAGAGCAGGATCACCTCCATGACCTGCTGCTCACGCTCCTTTTGATGTAGCCCAGCACAGGGGTGGTTTCCGGGCTCACACACACATTGCCCTAACTGGGTTTATTGCTGCTCCTCCCAGCTTTGGTTTAAACTGTGAAACAAAGCAGGACCTCAGTGAGACTACCACGAATCCGAGATGTTATCACAATATCTGCACTGTGTCTGGCAGATGCCCCATCTCTCTGCTGGGAATCCTTCCCTCTTGGTCCCACACAGGGCACACAGAACTACAGCCATAGAAAACAGACGTGCATAAGGGCTCCTCTGTCTCTCTGCCAGCATGCTCATGTCTCCAGTTAAACCATGGAGGATGGATCGGGTTGCTGTGAAATTTCACCATCATTGCAAATCTGCAGGGAGAAGATTACAATGAGAACAGGATTCCCAAAGCCAGGAGCCATGTTCTGAGCAGGTCAGAGGAAATCACAGAGGACAACCCCAAACTCTCTGCCTAACTTCAGACCAACAACCATAGCCAGGGTCCTGAAAGCAGAACAGTAAAACAAGGGCTGAAAAGAAGGGATAACAGACTTCTGCTGCAGAGTTTCACTGAGGAAGGGCAACGAAGTCCATGAGCATCCTCCATTAGGATATACTCTGCAAGGAAAAGATTTTCTTTCCCCAAAGTGCCTCCATCACTTGTAGCATGTGCAAGTCTCAGCTGAAAACAGAAGTACTTGGCATCAGCAGCACTGGCAGCAATGAAGCAGCCAGCAGGAGGGATACTGGTTTCTCCAATGGAGAAGGCCAAGGAGACTCACAATCAGCAGAGCTGTTAAGAACCAGAGCTGGGGTTAGAGTCTGGGTAGGGATGGGTAAAGCAGCCACCACACCATGCTGCCGTTATCTGCTGCCTTCATAGAACGGCTTGAGTTGGAAGGGACTTAAAGCTCCTCCAGCTCCAACCCCTGCCCCGGGCAGGGACCCCTTCCACTAGAGCAGCTTGCTCCAAGCCCCTGTGTCCAACCTGGCCTTGAACACTGCCACGGATGGGGCAGCCACAGCTTCTCTGGGCACCCTGTGCCAGCGCCTCAGCACCCTCCCAGGGAAGAGCTTCTGCCTAAGAGCTCAGCTCAGTCTCCCCTCGGGCAGGTTAAAGCCATTCCCCGTGTCTTATCCCTACTTTCTGACAGATTTCAGCAGCAGCAGAGCTGACACCTGACAATTCCCGAGTGGAAAACCAGTTTTCATATTACTGAATGGAAAACTAAAACCTTATAAAACATCAAACCCAACCCTGTTACCCCAATGATACCTGGGTGGTCTCTGCAGGTCTTCATAGAATCAGCCAGGTTGGAAAAGACCTTTAAGAGCATCAAGTCCAACCATCTTCACTTTACTCTGCTTCCCACCAGCAACTCCACGCCACGGACAGTCTCCTCCCAGGACCTATGCAGCAGACTCCTGTTTGAGAGGAACATCACCTCTTTAGGTGGACCCATGTTGTTAGTTCAGATCAGAGTGCTGCGGGAGGAGCAGGGATGTCTCCCTGATGAGGGAACACGGTGTTTCCACTATCCCTAAAGCTTTGCAAATCCATGTCTCCAGCCCCACTGAAGCCTGTAGCTGTTTTTGCAGCTGCATGCCATCATTCTGGAAGGAGAGTGAAACAGAACTGCGTTACCATCTCGTGTGAATCAGGATTTGGAGCCAGCAAAGCAGCCAGGTCTTCAGCACATCCTCTTTGCCCAAATATTCCCATTCGGATCGATATGGGCTCGATGAATGATGAGTCAAGGAGTGTTTTTAGGGCTGGGGAAGGACACCATGGTTGAAATCAGGCTTGGAAGGAAAACAAACAGAGAGGAGCCATGAAGAGAAGACACACGAGTGGAGAGATACTAATCGGTTTTATTTTATAAATACAGATGAGCTTTCCTGCAATTACCAACATGGTTTGAATGTGGCATTTCCTAGGGGATATTCTGGGTTTGCTTCAATACCTGCTCAAGCAAGGAGAAGCCAACGCTGTTGCGCTTGCTAGAAAAATAGAGTGGGATACGCTCTTCCAAAACTAATACTCTCAAAAATGTCAGGAATTCCTGGTGAGGGGAAAGGATTGCAATGAAATGTGGTCTCCACTTGAAGACATTCGCAGACATTTAACAGTGTCACAGCTGTGCAGGAACTGAAGGGCTCTTGCAGTGGAAAGCACGCTGTGATACATCATCTCACCTTCAAACCTACTCTTTGCTTCTCTCCCACTATGCTCTTTTCAAAGCTATTTGGGGGGGGGGGGAAGAAATAAACACAAAGGCAGCAGCTATGAGGTGGTTGGAGGGGGTTCAACCCCGTCCTCACAGCAATGAGACGTTTGTTAACACTTTAACTAGCCCCACGACAGCATCCCCCTGCACACCAGCTTCCAGCTGGGAAGTGGTTAAGAGTGGAAGAGAAACACAGGGACAAGTTTAGGGCTACTAAAGATACATCCATAGGAAGCCCCGTCACAGACTCATGCGGCAGATGCAGGAATCAACCATCGTGTCTGACACATCAACCAGTACAGGGTTCAAACAGGAACAGGACATCGGGGGGGGGAAATGACTTCATTTGGTTGGGTGCAACCTGAGAAAATCTGAAACTAGTGATAAAAAAAAAATCCCAAACCCCACTGATGCTCTATGGACCTAATCTCACACACGGCTGAATTGCACGGAGATGCTCCATGCTTGCCTACGAAACACAGCGGCTTCACATCTACTCTTTGGGTTGCCTTGAAAAGTCACCACCACACAGAAGCTAATGCCTTTCTGTCATAGAGGAAAAGAGAAGAGGGTGCCTACAAACAGGTCTGTGCTGCTCTGAGGTCCTGCAACTGACCCAGTGTTGCCCAGTTTCACCTAACATTATAGTGCTATCAGAAGATGGTAAGATAACGTCACAGGACAGAGTATCTTATGCCCACTTCATGAGTAAGTGGTGTGCTTTCAGGTGTTCATTTCTTCCTTATCTACACCAAAGCACAGCAGGAGCTTCCTACCTATCTCTCCTCCAAGATCATGTCGATGCTTTATGCTGCTGCAGCATTTCCTTTAGGGAAGCTCTTCCTGAGGTTGGAACTAAGGAGCTTATTCAGGGGACAAGATACTCATGAATGCATCCATGCCCAAGTCTGCATCTGAAATCATGGTCAATGACTTACACAATAGAGGCTTCTGCTTCTGTTTCCACCTAGCACATCCTACCGGGACAGACCAAAGACCATGAATCACTGTAGCAAGGCTTGATCCAGCAACACAACTGCAGACACAACCCTTAAAAGCTAACAGAAGAAATGTGAATACAGTTTTAATACAATCATTAAGGTGTTACCTGGAAAGATGCATATTCTAGAACAGTGCTATTATTATGCATATTGGTTCTCACATACATGTCTTGCTTTGACAACAGATAGTTGAGGTTATACATATCCACATTTGAAGAAGTTAATTTAGGCTAGCCTTATGTGAAGTTAGGAGAAAGACTAGGTCATTGGTTCAAAAGAAAGCATAGACCAGGGAGGGGGGGGGAAGCCAGGCATGAAGAAGTGGTGTTTATTCTGCTATATATCTTTATATTTGAGAGCTCAAACCCGAGCCCCAATTCTTGGGTATACAATATAGAAAGCAAAGAGCAATGAAATCCCAACTGAAACAAATACCAGGAATCACTAAAGAGGCTGCAAATTGCTTTCCCATTAGTGCAGCTGAACACGTGCCAGTGGTAACCTACCTAACAGCAAAAGCACACCTCCAGCAAAGCACTGGAGGTTTCTTCCTTTAAAATACATATGGTTAAAAGGGTATTCATTGAGATGAATGATGCTGAGTGCCTCCTTCCTACAGATTCCACAGATTTGCCTAATTCCAAAGTGCTGACGGCATTTTCAGGCTGGGTTTTATTATGAAGGCTCTTGTGAAGTGCCTCACATGGCACATGGACCCCATTAGACACCTCAAAAGGTGGCCACTGAACCCCACTTAGTGCATTTGTTAGGTCTCTACTGATGAGATTGAAGTGGGGAAGGTTCAGGCTGAGACTTATATGGAACCTTGGAGGTGATTTAGTCCTCAAGGCTTCTATTGGTAGGAACAGTATGAAGGAGGAGGGAAAAGGAGAAGACTAAATGTCATTTTTGATTCATCAGGTGCAAGGAAACTGCAGCTATCACGGAGGTGCTCATTCTCTGGCAAGCTCACATCACCAACTGAAGACCCATCAGTGCAAACGAGAACTTGAAAGGCTACAGAGCACAGCCAGGAGAAAGCTGTCCAATGGTAAAGAGAACAAATATCCATGGTATTTCTGGAACACTGATTACATTGCTCAAGAAAACACAGGAGGACATGGGAGAAGGTAAAGAGATCTTACCATAAATGTGCTTTTAAATTAACTTCTTTCTTCTGAAAAGGATTAAAATAAATTTAAAGAATAATCATGAACAAATACCCATAGAAGGGGCCTGATCAGCACTAAAAGGTGTTTTCAGGAAAGCCTTTATAAATGGATTCCAATGCCTAAAAAAACCAACCCCCCCAAACCAAACCTTCCAACAGATTATAAATACCATATAAGAGGACTGGAAGCAGAATCAAAATGTACCTGGGCTGTGAATATACCATGATCCTGTGTTATCGTGCTCAAGTCCATTTGTCTACCACCATAGGAAATAGCTTTAGCTGGTTTTATTTTTCTTTTTGATATAATTAATATAAAGAATAAGTGCAATTTCATCTCTATTCCCACATCACTGATTTCACCTCCATGTCTGCTATCAACCCCCTGGTCCCAAGCTCACTTGTCCGAACTCTTCCTTGGCCTGCGGAAGCTGGACATGTTCTCATTCAGTGCATAGATCCTCCGAGAGAACTCCTCGAACTCCCCTAGGACTTGTTCATCACACTCCACCGCCACGGCGTGTTCCACTGGGATGGAGTTAAAGTCCTCGAGCTGATCTCCCGAGCTGAACCCCGTCGCTTCCAGCCCCATGATCTCCTCTGCTTGCTCCACGGTGCAGCAAAGGATGGGGTTGAGCGCGGGGCGGAACTCACAGGGCTGCTCGGTGCTTGTGGTGCCAGAGCACTCACCAGGTAGGAAGGCCCCATTTATTGCACTAGTACGTCCTAGGAAAGACTCCTGCTGGTCTTGGGTGCTGTTTAAGCTCCTGCTTTCTCCATTTAAACTGCTGCACAAGTTCTCACCTTTCTTGGTATTTCCTTTTGCGGAGTCCATAGAGGTATCCAAGGAAGAAGATATTGACCCAGGTTTTTTAGCTAACTCTCCTACACGGGCTGTGATGGCGACGGGCTGTGTTAAAGCAGAGTTGTAGCTAGGAGGAGGAGTTTTGTGCTGCAGTCTCTCATTTCCCGTGCTGGCTCGTTTTCTGAGTCCTTTATCTGGAGAAGGAAGCCCACTGGAAAAGCCAATATCCAACCTGCCGAAGCTAGAGCTCTGTCTCTTTGGAACGGGAATCGCACTGGATGTATGGTGTCGATCACTGGGAAAGAAGGGAAGGATAAATCACAGCTGTTAGGCACGTTCATGAGCACTACAGATGTTTAACCAAAGGCTGAAGCAATTACTTTATCACAACTCCAAGCTCCATTTGGCCAACGACTTGTATCCTGAAGTGCTAAACCCCTAAACGTGTTTAATGCTGTCTGAACTACAGAAGACACCCCAGAGGACAGCTTTACTGAAAACCAGGAAGATCCTGTAGGAACATTTACAAAGCTCTATGGTTTGAAGTCAATCACCCAAGAAACCACCACATTATGTTAATTCGGACTGTTAACACCGTTTTATGGGACGAAGCTGTGATTTATGAATCACTACTGTTGACCGCACGTTTATGTATTTGGGGCCTGTCCTGGGCCATCATAAACTCCTCAAAAGCGAGTCTGAATCCTCTCAGAGTGACTTCTTGCAGGAGTGGACTCTCCTGACAGCTACAGAAAGGAGTAAAACCACACCAAACGTTGCTATTTACAGAGGATTCTCTTCGCCAGATCTCCTTTCCTGTGCCAATCATTCCAAAGCTTTTTGGACAAACATCAACCTCTGTTTCTTGAGGAGCACGAACTAATCAAGCTTAATTTACAAGTTTGATTTTCCTATTTAAGACGCCACTTACACCGTGTCTCAGGTTCTATAACTTGGAACATCCCCATCACATCATCTGCGGTGTGTTACGTGAATTTTCCTTCATCAGCTTAATCCTTATCCAAATATAATCACCAGGCTATATGCAAATAGTGTGCTGTACATTAACGAAAGCAACTGCTTCATTTTCCCTTCCAAACTTAAAAATAATAAAGAGTACAGCTATTCCTGATGTGCTGAATGTATAACTCCAAGATTCAACTGCTGTCAGTATGAGTCTAAGCTCCATTTAAAAAGAAACTCTTTCTGCTCAAGGCCTGACACATTTTGGGTGCTGTAATGCAGGAGAAAATCTTGGAACAGCAGTTAAGAGTAGTCCCTAGAATGGATCCTTTTCCATGTTATTTCCCTTTTCTTGTTCCCTTTTGTAAATAGGATAAGGTAGATGGCAAAAAGGCTCTTTGAGAAAAAGCAGCATCCCCATGGAAGGGCAGCATAGAGTACTGCAACTCTTAACTTTCCTCTCCCATCTCACCTCCTCCCAGGCTGCCCTTTAGTAAACGCATGGAGCTTTCTTCTCTTCCATAAAGCCCTCAAATTACCCTAAGGAACAGTTGCTTTTTGGAATTACACTTGTGGACAGTGAAGTAGAGAGATAGCAGCAAAACCATTAAATTTCCCCTTCCACTGCTGTTTCAGCCCTTTATAATGCAAACTCAGCACCTGCAGCTTTGTTTGCAAAGGTTTGGAGCCTTCTTAACAGAGGTGGCAAACCAGAAAGCAGAATGTGCCACAGATGCTGACAAGTGCTGGATGCATGGTTACAGAGATGAGGTGCTAGCACACGGTGCCCAGAGAAGCTGTGGCTGCCCCATCCCTGGCGGTGTTCAAGGCCAGGTTGGACACAGGGGCTTGGAGCAAGCTGCTCTAGTGGAAGGGGTCCCTACCCGTAGCAGGGGTTGGAGCTGGAGGAGCTTTAAGGTCCCTTCCAACTTGCTCAAATTCATTCCTCTGAGGTCAGCTGCTTTAAAGGGCAAAGACAAGTATGCATAAAACTGCCTAACTGCTGAACCCCAAACTGCCTTTCAGCAAGGGCTTATCAGCCCGATGTAGGCACAACAACGTTCCTACACAGCAGAAATTTCAGTGTCTGAGTAAACCAACGTGAGAACTGTGGTTTCCAATTAGCTCAGGAGAAGCAGCTCTACAAACTGTTGTGGTGGGCATATAAATCTAAGGTCCTCTTAAAGAGAAACATGCCCACATTCCTCTGTAAATCTAGGCCTTAGAGGCAAATGGGTGAGAAATTAATTAGTCTGCGGGACCAGGAGAGCTTTTAAAGAGCTTGTTATGACAAGGCCATTCAAGCTAACACGTTATGTATGCCTGAACAATACCTCTTTAGACCAGCAGCCAAAGAAAATCTTCCCTTCCTTAGTAAGTTGAAGTGGCAGGATGATGTATACTAAGTGATCTAACAGCCTGAACGTATCAGCAATACAAAGCTAATCTCCCTCATCCACAAAATAACTTCCCAGTTAATAGAGTACATGAGGGCTGCCCCATAGGGCAGTAAAGCAGGAATGATCTTCATTTATCATGGAAGTGTTCAAAGCAATGAACTAGAACAAAAAGCACTTGCAGGCAGGATCCTTAAACTACATGCAATGAAATGGATCTTGCTTAAGAGCACAGAACCAGGTTTTAAGCTGCTGGAGACACACGTGGGCAGATTTCTGAAACCATCTATTGCTGCCAATAAATACAAATGGGATGGGTTTAGCTTCAGTCAGGAATAAATACAGGGATAATGGCCCAAATGTGGGAAAGCAGGAATGAAGTCAATAGAATGGCTTAAGTGCTTATCAAGTATTACCTAAGGCATTTAGATAAAAGTCAATATGCACAAAGGGCTTTGGAGATCAGCCATCTAAGAGGTCATTGCCCAGGCTCCTTCCACAGCCACTAGAGAAGAAACAAGTGTGGGAGAAGGGTGGGTAATAAATAATCATAGCATCATAGAATGGTTTGGGTTGAAGGGACCTTAAAGCTCCTCCACGTCCAACCCCTGCCACGGCCAGAGACACCTTCCACCAGAGCAGCTTGCTCCAAGCCCCTGCATCCAACCTGGCCTTGAACACTGCCAGGGATGGGGCAGCCACAGCCTCCTTCAAATCCCCTGTTGAGAGCCATTCATCATCAGTGGAAAGCCACCTGGTCAAGATGCCTCTTCTCAACCACAAGGACAATCTAGGCAACTAGGTGAGGCTGTGTGACAAGTGTGTATAAAGCAAATATTAGAAGATGAAGAGCTCTCTGTATACTAAGTAGACTCATGGTCAGAATCTTGCAGGCAAGTAAAACCAAACCAAAATGGCTGTAGGTACAGTGGGTTAAGCAGTTAAGTCAAGGGGTCTTCTCCTGTTCCATCACCTCCCTCCAGGTGAGAATGAGAAGTCAGGCTGAGGGGTTTGGGTCAAAAGCAATGTGTATAGAGAGGCACAGAGCTCAGAAAGCCTAGTTTGCTATTGCTCTTCGTGAAAACAGGCAGCTGATGGAGGATCTCCATTCCGTTTGCATTTTCCTTCAGGAAAAGGCTGCGCTGCTATCAGAATTCATAGCACTGCACCGAAGCAAGCCCACAGAAAGAGATGCTTTATCAGCTTCACAGCTTATGGAATTAACACAAAATACAGTAAAAAACCAAGTCACATTAGAAAACTATCATCCTATCTCCCAGAAACTTTAGAGTAAGGTATTGTCACCAGTGACAAGAGTTTGGCTTGCAGGAGCATAGTCCTTTACTCCAAGGTACAAGCTTGACCTGAATTACTAGAGTTGAGCTGGTTCAGCTTCCAGCCACAGGTAATTACTTGGTCCTTGACAGTGAGACAGCAAACTGGTGTGGACACCTGCCCAAAAAGAATGGCCTGTCACTAGTGGAGGATAAAACCTGATTTGATGAACTGCCATCAGGCCTTAAGGACTTTCAGTCATCAACTTGGATCAGCCTCGGAGTAGTTCTGTATGGGAGCAGGTATAGTTCCTATCAGGAAGCAGGAGTTCTGAATTAGAAAAGAAAAGCCTCAGATTTATTGGACAGTATAGATAAGAGAATTACATCCCCACCAACCTGAAGGCTTCAATTGCATTCAAGTCTCAAAAGCCAATTCGTAACAGCCTAACTTCAGCTCTAAGTTTTACTGGCAGCAAAACTACAAAGTAGCTGCTTTCCCCCCCAGAATATTAGTTCTCACTTGTTAATAAATAGTCCGTTTGGGCATTCTTGCAGCCCTCAGGCCCAAGATGCAGACTCCATGCTGTAAACAGGCGAGATAAAGTGATGGAAGCAGGACACAACCACTTGTGAAGCTGTTGTTTTAGCCGTCCTGGTTGGAATCTGTTTGCAGCTTCAATCAAAAAGAAAAGGTTTCTTGAGTCGAGATTCACTTGTGCTTATTTAAACTGGCTGCAAAGGGGCTCGGAGAAACTGTAAAGCACTATGAGAGACAGAATACAATTCACAGGCTCAAATATGTATCTTTTCCTCCCCGCAAAATGTTTCCTCAGAGGGACATTACTGGATCACAGCTGGTCAAAATACTAAATCTTGATTGTCTGGCCCCAAGCCAGTATCCACAGCTACAGCTCTTTGGTATGAGAATACTTACCCAAAGCAAAAAATCATAAGTTAAACACCATTTGATCTTTTTTGTTGCAAACTATGACCTCATGGCAGCAAGAACGCTCAATGAAGGTGTTTAAGTTGGTTTATAGCCATCTGAAAGGTTTGAAGCTCCAAGCGTAGCTCCGAGCCAATAGCATGTCAAGCGTGCTAAAAAGCAATAATAGTTTCTCACCTTGTGGAGATTCCTGCTTCAAGAACACACAATAGCCACAGGGCTGCAAAAGGGAGGCTGCCAGCATGAAGAGAAGGTGAAACTGGGTCTTTTGGCAGCTAAGAAACTCTGACACACGCTTTAGACAAAAAGAAAACCTTCATAAATTAAGCTACCAGGGTTTGCTCGAGTCAAATGTTCAGTTTTAGGCTCCTCTCGAAGCTAGCAGTACATGAATCAAGACTTACCTTCGAAACACTGATTTAAGCCTTGGCATGCAAGTGGGTTTGAGTCCAGCTTTTAAATGCAGGCTCAAAAGGACATCTCCCTGGCTACAGACAAGAGCTAAAGGCCTATCTCATATTTGCCAGCATTAGATGAGCCTTTTGTCTAATCTATTCACTAGGAATAAAACCTTCTTCTCGCTGCACTGCTCAATCGGTGGTGTGCTCTTTACCCGCTATTGATAATCACAAATGCTATCCCTTTACTTACACAGAGTAAATAAGCTGAAGAATAGGAGAGAAAATGAAAGAGCCTCTTCATTTAATGCAATGACCTAAAGAGTCTGACTTGTGCAAGATAAATCTGAACACGGAAAAGGGAATAAACCAAGGATCAAAATGCACAGTTTGGTCTCAAAAGCTGGAGTAAAATGTGTGCTCCAGAGTAAAAAGGATTCAAGAGGAAAGCTGCCCAGGGCCTTTTGCATCAGCAAAAGCTAATCTTAAAAATGAGCTGCTTTTCTGGAAGCCAGTGAGATTCCAGGATGAAAAAAAAGACTGGAAACAGAGAGAATTAATCCCAAAGGAAACAGAAAAGATTTGGGGACCACAACCCAGACAGCCTAAATCAACAACAACTTTGCCTCATCATCTTTCACCTTAAGAGTCAACATGCAGAGTTGATAACAGAAAAAGAAGCAGTTCTGTAGCTTCCATCACAGTGTGCGCAGGGACCAACAGATCTGTCTTGATTTTGTCTATATACAGTACAAGTAATATTGTGTAGGGGGGGGGAAGCAAAGTAAATACAGCAGAATATAGGTGCCAGGAGAGAGATGAAGAGGGAAGCAGGGCTTGTAGACCTGCAAGCTCACTGTAATAAATCAGGTGTGTTGGGATGTGAAAGCATGTATTAATCATTTCAGTGTCATGCCTGAGAAACCAAAACAACCCAGATCTCACCAGGCTGAGGGACCAGCAGCAACACAAGTACACCTCGAGGCAAAGGCACTGGACTCCACAAACCTTCAGGGGGGACAGAGGCTCGCAAAGGCTGAAGCAAAGACTGGAAAGATAAATTTGCTCTGATAGAGGCATGAAATAGATGGGATCTTCCACAAAAGCTGGGGGCAGTGTTTGCTTTTAATCTGAAGGAGTTAAAGAAACTATTCTGTACTTAAAACGAGACACTGATGCTGCGAGGGCTGGAGCAGCTCTGCTCTGGAGCCAGGCTGAGAGAGCTGGGCTGGGTGAGCCTGGAGAAGAGAAGGCTCCTGAAGGGGAGACCTGAGAGCAGCTCCAGTGCCTGAAGGGGCTGCAGGAAAACTGGAGAGGGGCTTGGGACAAGGGATGCAGGGACAGGCCAAGGGGAATGGCTTGAACCTGCCCGAGGGGAGACTGAGCTGAGCTCTTAGGCAGAAGCTCTTCCCTGTGAGGGTGCTGAGGCGCTGGCACAGGGTGCCCAGAGAAGCTGTGGCTGCCCCATCCCTGGCAGTGTTCAAGGCCAGGTTGGACACAGGGGCTTGGAGCAAGCTGCTCTAGGGGAAGGTGTCCCTGCCTGTGGCAGGGGTTGGAACTGGATGGGCTTTAAGGTCCCTTCAACCTAAACCAGTCTGGGATTCTGTGATGCTTACCAGAGGAAGAGGTTAAGTCTGAAATAACTGTGTATTCCTGTTACCCTGCATATGTAGGGGATTCAATTCCATTCCCAACTGCAGAGCAATGTCTCTATTCAAAAGCAAAACTAAGGACAATGCACATGTCAGGAGTTAAAACCAGTCCTGTTCAAAGAGAAACTAATTACAGTGTGAGTGTTGTTTTTTACCAGTGTGATTATGCTTTGACAGAACTTAAGTACGCCAAAACCCAGCTACAGTGCTAAGAAAGGAAACTGAAGACCAGCACCAACGAAACCAAACCAACCAGGCAGTGTGAGTGTATCTGTAGATAAGAAAAACCCATCATCACCACCTCATCTAGTGTGAGGCATCCCTGCCCATGGCACGGGGGTGGAACAAGGTGATTGTAAAGTCCTTTCCAACCCAAACCATTCTGTGACTTGATGCCCCTGCTCCCATGCTGCAAGTGGAGGATGATGTGGACTTACTGTACGGACTGTGGTCTGTGGGACTGGGGATAATGTAACTCACCTCCAGCATCCTGAAAACAAAAAATTCCTTCAAATCTTCATTTGAACAGCGAGTGGCCTTTAAGCTTGTTTAAATCTCTGTAATCAGATATTATCCACGACACAGTGGGCATCTGTACTCTGCTATGTGTGTGTGCTCAACTGCAAGGCCCAATTAGGGAAGTCTAGCCGGTTTTCCCCTTGAGCTAGACTCCCTGTAAAGCCCCATTTCCATGTATATTAGTAGGAAGTACTAAGAAGCATTGTTTAGAATCATTAGCCTTAAAAAAAAAAAAGAGTTAAAAATGAACAGCTCTTCATACATGTTTTGGAGGTGAGAAGGAAATGAGGCATAGACAGACAGGGAGCGGGGAACGTGATACTCCCAGAGAACCATGCTTCATATTTCTACTTGTTTTGAAATATTATCCAGCCAAAAAAGATGTGTTTTGTCTTGCTAATGACTGTGTATCACCTATAGGAAAAAACCAAGCGGCTGTATGACAGCAAAGCCCCTAAGGCTTAACCAAAGCTTCCAATATCAGTTCTTCAAAGGCAGCGCACATCAGAAGGGAAGAACAGAGAACCCCAGCCTGGTTTGGGTTGGAAGGGACCTTAACGCTCATCCAGTTCCAACCCCTGCCTCGGGCAGGGACCCCTTCCACTAGAGCAGCTTGCTCCAAGCCCCTGTGTCCAACCTGGCCTTGAACACTGCCAGGGATGGGGCAGCCACAGCTTCTCTGGGCACCCTGTGCCAGCGCCTCAGCACCCTCACAGTACCTTACAGGTACTTCCATGTGGAAAGTGATTCCCATTTAACATCCCAGCACTGTTTATTCAAGTCAGAAGGGAACATCCACAACCAGTACCCTTCCCTCCACTGATGACTGCACACAAGTGCTATAGAAGCCATGGATCTGATATTCCAGCCCTTCATTTCCAGATTTGCTGAGGGGACCACACACCATCCTGGTGTTTTTACATCACAGTGATGGATACCACATGAAACCTCACAGTAATGTTATCCCCAAAGAAGAAAGCTTTGTGTTATGCATCTTGCTAGGGGATAAGAAGAAAAGCAAGGAGAATCTTTTCAGCTGTGCTTGAAATTACTGACAGAATAAAACAGCGCAAGGGACTGCACTGCCTTTTCTCAGGGCCTGTTTATTTCCACTGTTTTGTTGGCTGAGTTGAATTTCCATCAGGCAACACTTTTTATAGCATTGCTCAAAGATGTTCCATTTTCTGCTCCTGTATGTCTTTTCCTTTGCCAAGACTCTCCTCCCAAAACAAGTGATTTGGACACCAGCTTCGAGCGCACATGGACCAGTGTTTCTGGGCTTTGAAACTGTGCTTTGCCAGTGTAAACCTCATGAAGTTCAACAAGGCTGACAAGAAACCTGGAGAGGGGCTTTGGGCAAGGCCCCATAGGGACTGGCCAAGGGGCATGGCTTGAACCTGCCTGAGGGGAGATTGAGATGAGCTCTTAGGCAGAAGCTCTTCCCTGTGAGGGTGCTGAGGCGCTGGCACAGGGTGCCCAGAGAAGCTGTGGCTGCCCCATCCCTGGCAGTGTTCAAGGCCAGGTTGGACACAGGGGCTTGGAGCAAGCTGCTCTAGTGGAAGGTGTCCCTGCCCATGGCAGGGGTTGGAGCTGGAGGAGCTTTGAGGTCCCTTCCAACCCAAACCAGGCTGGGATTCTATGATGATTAATTCACCTCCCTCTACTGAAGAGCACTGCTTTTCAAACATCCTCTCCCTGCATCTCCCTACCCCTCTGAGAAGGGTTATGGGCCCATCATCTAGAAAATATAACAGCACATACAAACAGTAGAACATTGTGGACATTTCCATAGTCTAGCTTGGGAAAGTCATCATCTTCAAGTATGCTTAACTCTTGTGAAGCTCTTAACTGCTTATATCTAAATATGATGCAGCATCCACCTCTTTAATCACAAAAACCCCACTTACCATCTAACCATTAGCCCGAGCTCCATGAAGTTCTTCAGGTTAGGGAGAGTTTGCCGGAGATCTGGAGTACTCAGCCCATGTTGATATCTAAGCTATAGAAACAGGAAAAAGAAACCCAAAATTAGCACTGCTTTCCAAATCCCACATTGCAATGAATATAACATTCTGGTCAGTTAATTTACTGGGGTTTCAAAGAAAGTGTAGGATAATCAAACAGTTCCCTTATGGAAATGTTCCATTTAACACTCATAACCTCCTATTAGCAAAAGCCACCCAAGAACAGGGAGAAAACAATCAATCTGCCTGTTAAAGCTCATTCCACCTTTTCCATTTCCTATCTGGAACAGGAGAGCAGCCTCCCAGCTTAATGAAAGCACAGCCATGAGGTGGAAGGACCCAATTTCAACACAGTGTTCTATATTCATTGACTCCAAACGTGTATTTGTGTGCGTCATTCCCGAGTGCATCAATGTACGTTGGAATTAGTACAGTCATATCAACTGGTACAAATACACATTGTCACACGACTGGTCTGAATCTGTTCCTTCCAGAGTTTCCATCAACATTTAAACTGCTTCAGTTATTCCCATAATTAAACCCAGCATTCACATACAATGCATGTAGCTAAGAGAAAGGCTTCAAGCACTGACTGACTTTAAACCAAGTATTAGCTCCCGTGTGGGTGCAAACAGAAAGGAAAAGATTCCATATCCGACACCATGCAAACCTGCTTTTACTCCCAGGTTATCAAATGAAGCACCCAACAGAACTGTCACTGCTGGTGGTTATAAACTGCTTAAATAAGAAGTTCCCAAACTAAAAGTACCTCCTAAAGAAAGCACAAGGAAGGGGAAAACTCTGCCTTTCAAGTGTGAATCCCAGCACTTCATGGAATCCTTGCAGGGAGATTTATCCCTTGTGTGGTTAAAATATGACAACTAAAATGTCCCTAAATTCCAGTACCTTTCAGACTAGCAGGATAAAGAGGAGCCAGCATAATACACAGTTCTCAGCAGGTAACACCCTCTAGAACAGCAGGTATCACCCTCTAGAAGCCACAGCTGGCCTCCACTGCACACATACAGTAACTGCACAAACTGGATACTGAAGTAGTTGCTGTAACATGGAACAATCACAGAATCATGGAATGGTTTAGGTTGGAAGGGACCTCAAAGCTCATCCAGTTCCAGCTCCCTGCCACGGGCAGGGACACCTTCCACTAGAGCAGCTTGCTCCAGTCCCCATCCACAATAATCCCATTCCAAGTTAAATTTGGATTTTCAGATCCACACCTGTTTCCAGGACTAATGGCAGTGAGGTGTAAGCAAGAATCCTTCAAGTTAGAAAGATTTCTGACCAAAAAAAAGACTCAAAATTGGGAATGATTTCCATGCTTTTCTGAGTTTGAGGAAGAAAAATAGCTTTGGAAGAAAATCATCCTCAGCACTGCTTTGTACAACAAGAGGCCATTTATTACACAGCTTATTAGTTCCATATGGACCCAGCCAAGGCATATGGTGGGCTTGGATTCAGATTTGCTGCTGCAATGACAGAACCTGGATTAAGGCAACCAGCCAATATAAATGACTTTCGATCACCACATTCTCCTGATGGGATTACAGTGGATTTGGTTAACCAAAGCACGAGCCTGGGGGCAAAAGAAATAAACCAGCAAAACAAATCAAAACCATCCCATTGTCCCTCCTACTACAATCAAACGTTCAGAGATGATTCCTTTTTATAGGCACCCTTAAATTCTAAGGTTTCATAGCATGAAAAGTGCTGGATTAAGGGAGCGCTCTACTGCCAACAGCCAAGATCAGAGGAATGCATGAGAGATTTCTGTATCCAAACGTGAACAAGACCACTGTTTCTGCTACAATCCATTTACTTACTGCAAATGCTAGAGATGCACGGTAAGCAAAGTTAGGATGGCAGGAAAATAATATGATTTCACTTTATAAACCCCATTCTATATTGGCTTCCTAACAGCTTAAAGCCAAAGCAATATTGCCTTATGTGTCTGTGTCAACAGAAGGTGATGATGATGCATTTACAAAACAAACATGGAGGTAAACCCAGGAGCTGCTGAAAAACTCATCTGCCTTCTAGTGGCAGACAAAAAGCAGTTGAAGCACCAGAGCCATGGGTTATTTCCCAGGTTTTAGTCTGGTTCCTAAAATACCTCCCCATCAACGTGACAAGGTTAACTCCTACTTTGCAGTGGTCCCACCTACTTTGTAGGAGAAATCTCTCCACCTTTACTGAGTGATAGAACCCATGACACATGCAGCAAATACCAAAAGGAAGCACCACAGAATCCCAGCCTGGTTTAGGTTGGAAGGGACCTTAAAGCTCATCCAGTCCCAACCCCTGCCACGAGCAGGGACCCCTTCCACTGGAGTAGCTTGCTCCAAGCCCCTGTGTCCAACCTGGCCTTGAACACTGCCAGGGATGGGGCAGCCACAGCTTCTCTGGGCACCCTGTGCCAGCGCCTCAGCACCCTCACAGGGAAGAGCTTCTGCCTAAGAGCTCAGCTCAGTCTCCCCTCGGGCAGCTTAAAGCCATTCCCCTTGGCCTGGCCCTACAGGCCCTTGTCCAAAGCCCCTTTCCAGCTTTAGGGGCTGGAACGCTTCATCATTAGTAAGAACTGTGGGGTTTTTCCTTCCCAAACCATAAGGCATTTCTCTTACACCTTTCTTCAGTTTAATATCTTTTAACAGCCAATACCACACATACACAGATAGTTACTCCACCTCGTCCAATAACCAGCAAGACACAACAACAGCAATAACCCTCACCCATGACCTGTGACAGCAGAATTCATACAAGTGCCCTCTAACATCAAAATCAATTTTAAGAAGAGGTGAATGTAGGGAGAAGACAGATGCTTTGCTCATGAGACTTGAAAAGGTGGGAAAAGAAAAGCCTGAGGTGACTGTTGCTGTCTGGATCCTCCCAAGAAACCAAGTTCAGATTTCATTTGTTGCTATTAAACATCACCCACTTCCATCCACCCCACGCTCAGCTTCCAAAGGAACCAAGTGTCATTTGCTAAAGCAGTGCTTTATTTAAAGATGAGATTGGTTCTTCAGGGTATCAGAGCCCCAGACATCCATGGAAACACAGGTTTTAATTTGAGGGAGGGAACAAGTGGCCAAGACTCGTGTTCATGTTTATATGCCTGTATTCACCATGGGACTGTAAGTCATTAATGATGCTCAAGTAATAAAGTACTATTTGCACTTCCTTTCCAATATTCAGCTCCTACATGCAGCTTTGTTTTCCCAAGTGCTGTGTGAAATGTTACTCCATTGAGCAAAACACGTAGTAAACATTAATTGGAAAACAAGGAAGACATCAGACAGGAGACAGAGTTTGTTCTTGTAGCAGCTATTAGCAACACGTACTCCAGAGAAACAAGGTGTAGCAGAGGGGATCATAGAATCACAGAATGATCTAGGCTGGAAAGGACCTTAAGATCATCCAGTTCCAACCCCTGCCACAGGCAGGGACCCCTTCCACTAGAGCAGCTTGCTCCAAGCCCCTGTGTCCAACCTGGCCTTGAACACTGCCAGGGATGGGGCAGCCACAGCTTCTCTGGGCACCCTGTGCCAGCACCTCAGCACCCTTACAGGGAAGAGCTTCTGCCTTATCTCCAACCTGAACTTCCCCTGTTTCAGTTTGAACCCATGACCCCTTGTGCTATCACTCCAGTCTCTGATGAAGAGTCCCTCTTCAGCATCCTCGTGGCCCCTTTCAGATAGGCATCATGTTTTATGATCAGTTCAAAACAGAAGAACCTCAGGGTACTTGTTTAAGGAGAAAAATAATCTATGTAATTTCTTTCAATTACACTGATTAACTCCTTTTACTTTTCTCAAAGAGAATAAGATTCAAAGCTACATTTTACTGGGCTTTGTCACTCTGGCTTCTATGTTAACATAACAGCAGTCAAAGTTATTTAATCGAAGATGTAACAAAGCAGCTACTCAAACATAAAAGTACATAGTCATGTTTCTCCAAGATCAAGGAAAACTCTACATTCATCCAATTTGATGACTTTCTTTACTTGCACCCCCAAACATCTGACGCTACAAATCCAGGGTGATAAAGTGAGCAACTTCAGCGTTAGAAAAAGACGTTGATAGGAGGACAGTGTTTAAAGTGTCAATAACTGCCTAGACTGCTCCTGTAAAATCTGGGGGTTCTGTCTCCAAATTCAGGAAGTACCTGTAAGGAAGAATATGAAGATGATCAGGGGCTGGAGCACCTCCTGTATGGAGCCAGGCTGAGAAAGTTGGGGCTGTTGAGCCTGGAGAAGAGAAGCTGCGTGGAGACCTCAGAGCAGCTTCCAGTGTTTGAAGGGGGCTGCAAGGATGCTGGAGAGGGACTCTTCATCAGGGACTGGAGTGATAGGACAAGGGGTGATGGGTTAAAACTGAAACTGGGGAAGTTTAGATTGGATCTAAGCAAGAAGTTCTTTCCTGTGAGGGTGCTGAGGCACTGGAATGGGTTGCCCAGGGAGGTTGTGAATGCTCCATCCCTGGCAGTGTTCAAGGCCAGACTGGACAGAGCCTTGGGTGCCATGGTTTAGTGTGAGGTGTCCCTGCCCATGGCAGGGGGTTGGAACTGGATGATCTTAAGGTCCTTTCCAACCCAAACTATTCTATGATTCTAAGAAAGAGGATATTAAGTTTATATTAAGGGCAACTCTACTTCTGTAGAAGACCAGCCTATCACAGTTGGGGGTATTTAACATACACTTGCTATTTATTCCAACATCACAGACAACCATAAATATTCCCAGAATCCCAGGTTGAAGGGACCTCAGGGATCATCTGGTCCAACCCTTCCAGGCACAGTATAATCTACACTGGATGCCCAGCACCCTGTCCAACCCAGCCTTAACTGGGACTTCTTGTCAAAAGAGAGTCTCCAGCTTCACTGTAGACATCGTTTAACCCCTGGCACATGGACATCAGGTCTCCCTGAGCCTTCTCCAGGCTGAAGAAACAGCTCTCTCTGCCTTGAGTGAAAACAAACTGCATTTAAGATACTGGTTCTCAAAGTGAAAGGTGGATTTACTCTT